AAAAAAAAAATACCGGGATCGAAACGTCAATAAACAGAAGAAATGAACATTAATTAGTTTATTAAATAATAATTAAGTGACCTTATTCCCAATAAAATAGTGAAGTTTGAATATATATATATATATATATATATATATATATATATATATATATATATATATATGTGCTGGTGGACGGTGCTGAGACTGTGTGTCCCTGGCCTCAGGTATCAAAGCTCTATTTTAAAAGTAGGTTAAAATTTTGAAATAATTGTTATTAGAAACATATGGAAGCATAATTGTGTACCGATTGAGCTATTTGTTGTTCTAGCTTTGAAGATGATCCTATTGTTAACTTATAAAAAGGAAAAAAAAAACCGGGATCAAAACATCGAATAAACACAGAAGCAATGAACATTTAGTAGTTTATTGAATAATTAATAAGTGACCTTATTCCCAATTAAATAATTATGTTTAAATTTAATACTCAAAGGTCGATTAAAGAAAAGTTGTAAATATATATATTTGCAGCGAGTTTGTTTTATATAAAATTGTTATTAGTTGCATATTTCTACTCAAATGAGAGGATCAAAATAATATTACAGCAATGCATTTTGTTTAGAAATTGATTATTACGTAAATTTATGTTAATTATATGGGTGTATTAGACATTTATCTTTAAAATACTCATATAAGTAAATATGTACCTATAAAATTAACGAGAGTTCTAATAAAAAATGTATGCACTACCACAGTTCTAAAGATGTGCAAATATAATCTACAATATATTACTGTTAGTTCATAGCTGAGAAGACACAACCAGCTGAACAACTTCAGTTTGAAAAGATTGAAGTTTCTGAAGAGTATCAGGTGCAACGAATTTATGTTGATGTTATGTAAACCAAACAAAGTTGTGATTTTGTTAATGATATAACGAATAGCAGAAACTTGTAAATCATTTTTAACTTCAATTATTTCTTTTCTTAGTGCTAATATTTTTTTCTTTAACATCAAATAGAAGAATAGTCTTTTCCCAGTACCTTTAAGTTTTCTTACATTGTCAAATATCATGTTTATTTGATGGTTTCCCAGTTTTAAATGCACAAATAATCTATATTTATTCAAAGTATCCTATGTTGTTGTTGAATTCTTTCTTTTCATTTTTCAGAGCAAGAATTTCTCATTTTTGATTGCTTACTCCTTCCACTAGCCTATAAATAGCTGATAAGACCAGCTTGAGGTCTTGTATAAAAGGATGTTTTGGATATTTCTGTTTGAAATGTTTCTTTGATTGAAATAAGAAATAGTTGATTAGAGTTTCTCTCAGTCATTTTAGGTGGTCTGGGAGACATTTCCTTTAAAATTATCTTTCAATGCCTATGGTGATGAATTGCTTTTATTTCTCTTGGAGAAAGAAAAGGTGAAAATTATCTTTCTACTAAGCTCTCTTGTTGAATTGAGATATCAAAAAAAAAAAAAAAAATTGAAGTACATTTTAAAATGGTTGAAGTCACTTATAAATTCATGTAATACACAACTATATATATTTATCTCTTTATCTTTTTATTTATTAATACTATACCTTGTCTTAAAGAAACAGGTTTCAGCAATAGTAGTGTCGTGGATGCATCTATTACGCTACCTCTTCCAAAAAACGTTGACAAAAACAGAGTGTCTACCTGACCTGGAATAGTACGAGAATTTTTCGAACCTGGAAAAGTCAAGGAATAGTCAGGGAATTTTTTGAAGAAACAACAGAAGCCAGAGAATTTTACAAGCTAGAGGATGCAATTGCGGTTTCTATGATTCATAATCACTGCTGGTCACAAAAGTATACATAACCATATGAAAAAATCAAGATGGTCTGAGAGTTAGTCAGAAAAAAAGAACTAATAATTGTCAATTATTAATTCAATGCGACCAACATTGTAGGTCTTCATAAGGGCTTAAGAGAAAGAAACAAAGCATGTGAAACTATTTTAGGAGTAAAAAAGGTACATAGAATTACTGATGTAAATATGGATGTTATCTTCTTGATTGAATTGAAAAAGATTGCAAAACTAATTTATTTGTATGTTATATAGAGTGGACTCACCTATTTTCGTGGCTGAGTTCAAGTTTTCGTTTTTTTATAAAGATACTCTTGCTTCTTCAATTTTTTCTAGTTTGTCCCAAGAGCCAAATTTTTATGTGCCGTTAGTCTTAGAAATTTTCCAGATATACGCTGTGCAAACACGAACTTACTAATATTTAAAAGTTTAGAGTAACAAAAGAACAGTAAAGGGATAATGTAAGAATATAAAACAAGTTATCTTAGTGGCTTATAGAACTGGACTGTTTAATCATCTAGGATTGTATTAAATCTTGTTTTAGTTATGTCTTTAATCTTTCTTCCTTGATAGATTTTTCTGCATTTCTGTAGATTCTTCTATACTTTCCTTCTTTCCTCGACAAAGCGGTGTACCACAAGTTAACATTTTAAACCCTTTCTTCAATATTATTCATAGCTCTGATATTTCTGTGGAACTATGCAGCATCTTCAACTTTGATAGACTACAGCAATTTTATCTTTCCATAGCAATCCTATGATAGTATCTATTGCCCTTCAGAACCATTTATTCATCATTAAGAAGTGGTCCCAATGGAAAACAAAAATAAATGACACCAAATCAAGCCACATTGGTTTTTCCCTAAGGAAAGCTTCATGTTTACCAATAACAATTAAAAAGAACCCGGTGCCTTAAAAAAAACTATATACGATACCTCAGACTATACTATACTAATAATTGATAAGATTTCTGCCCACTCAGGCTGGATTTAAACCGGCGTGTTAGACATGAGATTGCTAAAGTAACACTCAGCTAACATCATATCAGACTCACACCTATCATAGGTAAACTTGTTTATATGTCACTATCATATAAACTTTTTGTGACCAATAATGATTCAGAATCATAACTGCAAATAGCACTCCTGCACCCCAACTTGTAAAATTTCCTGTCTTTTCCAGGCATAACAGGTTCGGTAGACACCCTGATATTAATATAAGTATTACCTGCAGATAAATTTTTTTAGGGTATTTTAAGGCTTCATGAATTCATATTATTTTTAACACAAGTGTGAGCCGTTAACATTTTACAGTGCATATATACATATATATAAATATATATTGTCCAGCGATATAGCATGGGACAGATATGTTTCAGAATGAAAATGGTGCATTAAAAGATACATTGTGTTACCATTGTTAAGTCTACCAGTTTGTCAGGACAGGTCCCTCCCTATCATGGAACATTGTTAGGCACTTTTATAACTTAAGGCAGTTAAATTTTGATATTTTTTTCAGTTTGAATAATTATATAATGTCAGTAAGGAATGAAGATGGAGTGTCTTTTTTCAATCACTGTATTTGATAAGCAACAAAGAATTATAGACTGTAAAATCAAATCCTTCCCCTACAAGTTCAAAGAGAAGATTTCTCCATAAGTCAAATTAAACAAGAAAAAATTAATTTTTAAACATATTTAACGTATCCAAGTCATATACATACTGAAATTGCACTGTACTGATTTCATCTTTTTAAACATTCAATAAACAAAAAAAAAAATCACAGTCCCTTAACCAAATTTTTATTACAACCATTAAATCTTTTTAAGTTGAAAAAAAAAATAATAAATAATAATACTGACTGTAATAACTTGTCCATTGTATCCTCCACTTTCTTTCCAGTCATTTTCACTGTTTTCAAAATCTGAAAAAAAGATTGTAGAGTGTTGGTAAAGAAAAATTACGGATCAGTAAATAGATAATATTAGCAGTGTTACAATTACCTATTGTTTTCTGGAACCTATCTTCAATAGGTGTTTCATCCTGGTCTGAACCTAACGAAAAAACATAAATATAAATTTTGAAGAAATTGATAGCTTTAAAAAAAAATCATTAAATATTAAAATAAATAAATATGTTTTTCTAAACTATCAATAAAAATAAATTTTCTCTTTAAATTTTCATTAATAATTTTTTTCTTCAAAAGTATAAAACATAAATAAATACATTACTTAATAACCAGATAATATTCAGGATCTGTGGGTCTGTAACAGCCTTACCTAAAACCCTCAAAGAGAAATAACCTGAATCAAAGGAATGGAAGCTTAATAGTAGTAGGAAGGAGGATTTTTACATTCATTATGCAAATTATGGTAGAATATAGGGAGGCAAATGGATGGGGTAACGGGAGATTTAGAGAGGGAGATGGGTACAGGAATCTCCCTAACTCTTTGCGGAGCGATCGAGCGTTAGTGCCCTACCCACTGCTTGTGAGTTCTCAGATCTCCTTATGCTCGCCATAACTTAACAGCATTTCAATTTGTATCCTCATCTAGGCGTTTGGTGCACCATGATCTGCAGAGCTGACTGTGACGCACTGTTGCTGGAGTTTGTCTTAAAGGGGTATAAGATGTTAGACCAACATCTCACAAAAATTTACAAATAGTTTAGGTAATGAGGGCTTTGCCAGAGCATTAGACACTTCATTTATGCTCTGTCAGTCAGTATGAAAAGGATTGATTTTTGCAGTAATAAGAATATTTTTATCATCTCTTTTTGTCAGATTCACAAACAGGTCACCTATTGGTACTTACAGTTTCTCTGAATTTAGCTAAAGCCCAGGAGACAACAATCTGGGAGACACCACTGCATTGGCGATATCCACTTGACGGTACATTTGACTGCTCATTTTCACGATAATATCGCGAACTTCTGGTTCAATATAATAGCTTTCCATCGTTAAAAGGAATATTACTGGATTAAAATTGAAGAAAGTCGTAAAAAAACTGTTAGTTTACAGAATGAGTATTTTTCATGTTCACTATCCTCTGGGTTAATAACTTATTAAAAAGAAAGAATACTTGTTGATTACTTTTTACTTTCGCTTATCTATATTTGAAATATATAGTAATGAAAAGTATTGCGATTGTGAAAATTTTAGAAATACTTGTTTTGAGCTTTCCTGAGTCTAAACAACCAAGTCCCACAAAATGGCCTAAGTGTGTGTGTGTATGTATGTGAACAGTCTAGCTCAAAAATGAAAAGTCGCATGAAAGTGAAACTGCATATTTAAGGTTTGTATATACCTGAGATTTTACAGCAACTTTTTCATCAACATCGGCTAACTAGAAGTGACACTTAATGTAATCGATTTTACACATTTTACGATTTTCTGGTACGATATTGATTAAATTCATTATATCAGGGTAAAATTTAATATAATATGAACTCTGACAATATTGTATACATAAACATGTGCTGTTTTCATAAATGATATCGTTTGTATTATTTAATATTTAATTGTATAGATTACAGTGATATAAAAATTAAAATTTGAATATATACCGGTACTTAAACAAATATAAATACACACAATGAAGTATAAATAAATATAGCGGCCCCTTCTTTATCAGTGGCACTCTAGTCAGACTAAAAATATTTTTTGTGGCACTTAATTATTTATTATAATCAAATAAATAATTTAAACATACAATTGTAAAAGGAAATAGCTAGTTTCAAAAAGAATAAAATTAACCATAGAACAACACACTTAAATACGTCAACTCATTCTGACACCCCAAACTTTAAATTATCATAAAATTTAATTGTCATGCTTTGGAAGACTCAAATACTTTTCAGAAATAAGCCAAGCAATTAGGAAAAGAAAAAAAAATTCAAGGTAACCTTAAAGAATATATTTTATATGCTCACGTAAAGTAAAAAGTTAGAATCTGCATTGCTAAGAAATCAAAAAAAGGATCAATAGTTTTTCATTGAAAATATGCTAAGTTTATATCAATTAACTATATATATTTGGAATGTAAATATGTTAATAATAAAGAAAAACAATATTTTTGTTACTTAAAAAGATAACAAAACCTATAGTGGAGGCCATTTAAGTAACCACTCACTCAACAATCTAAGCAAACTGTTGCATTGTGTTCATTGCACATTGGTCTCTAACCAGTGATGGGCATTTTTATATTCAAAAATATAAATACGAATACCATTCATATTTATGGTAAAAATGAATATATTCATATTCATAAAAAGTAATATGAATACAGAAGATACGTATTCAAGGCTGTATTTACACCTGAAAAGTGAATACGGCAAGAACCATATTTGAACATAGAAATAGGTTATAAACAGCTAATTACCAGAATTCAGTTCTCTAACAAGTGAGGACATTGCATTAGTCACAGAATCAGCAGCTTCTAATAAATCATTACAAAGACTACGGCCACCCATAGTTGATGTTGAATTTGATACTAAAACAAAAAAAACATATCAATTATATTAAATTTAGTCATGAAATATAGCCAAAAATTACATTTCTAATGCGTGGCTATAAATCTAAAAAAATATTGGGGGAGAAGGGAGGAGGAGGTGAATGGAATGGTTAAAATGAAGAACAATGGAGGTCAATAAAGTAAGGGTCAATCTAATTCAGATCATCCAGGCCATAAACATTGGATCTCAGATTTTTATTTTTTTTCAATTTGCCCCTGAGATTCAAGTTATTGAGAGTTACATGTGTAAGTTAATTATTTAAAAAATTGACATTTTTTACTATATACTAAAATATAATGCTGATACTTTATTATAATATAGCTATAAGCTTTATTATAATATAATTATATAGCTGGAAGGAGGCAGTATGTTAGAGAAGATCTGGAGTGGAATTTTCGAATAAACGTTTGCAACCAATAGTAAAACACGGAGGTGGCTTCTTAATGGTTTGGGAGCAAGTTTCTCGATCTGGAGTTAGATACTTTTAAAGAATAGATGCAAAGCAGTACCATAGCATTCTTACATACCACCTGGGATTAAGCTGATTGGGAAGAACTTTATTTTTCAGCAAGATAACAATAACAAATGATCACATTTTGCTATTTTTTAAATAAAAGTAACATTAAATAAAAAATAAAAATAAATTATGAAATATGGAATGTTAAATTAAATTTCTGGAAACAAAAAACGGAGATTTCCAATATCAGAACAATTTTTACAGATACATTCAGCTTCTAAGAGTTTATACAAAGGCTCTTGGTGTTAACAATAAAGAATTAAGACTGAAGTGGATAAGAAAGTAGTAAAATTAAAAAAAAAAAAAAAAAAGGTAGCAATATTCAGCCTCTGAAAATATCATCAACACAACGGATTGGTCCCTAGGCTTGATGTTAATTAAGTATAATGCTAATTTAAATATATATCACATCTACGATGTCTGCAAGATTAAATTAGTTTACAATTAAGGATAAAAACACTTAGAAAGATTGAAACATTTATAATTTTTAAAAAAATTCAGTTTGTTTGAAGCCAAATTTTTTATTAAGTTCTAAAATCAGCTAAATTCTAAATTCAGTTCTAAGTGAAACTCCTAGATGAACACACCTCCCTGATGAAGACCTGCAAAGTCGGGTCGAAACATTGGCTTTCAATAAAATAGTTTTACCACTATTTAGCCTATTTATGACCGCAACCCCGGACCATCTCCTTCCTTTAAATTTTTCACACTACTGTATATATATATATATATATATATATATATATATATATATATATATATATATATATATATATATATATATGGTTCGTATAAATGTTATACGAATATACTTAGGCCAAAACGTCAGTACAAAGAAAGTGCATATAATTTATTTTTATGTAATTTCAATGACTGCAACCCCCAATCAATTTCTCTTAAATGCATATTTTTCTTGTTTTTTTTACTTTTCATTACAGAATATATACAAATAATTTACATGTATATGTATAAATCAGTAAATTAAAATTAATTGTTGTTTGCAGATTTTAAAAAACGTTAATAACCTTTATGAGATTCTTTGTCATTCGAAATTCAACATATGAGATGTTCGCCGCCTCAAACAAGTAAGAAGTCATATTAATTATACAGCTATTTAAATGAGTAATTTTTAAAGGGATAGAAATGGGCATTACTAAATTGTAATTATGAATAGGTCATCATTTCATGTAATTAGATAAAACCCTACCTTGCAATATGATTTATAAACATTCTCTAAAAGTGGTAAAAATATTTTTGAAACACTTTAATGATTCTACTTTCGAAAACCTCACTTATATACTTATATTTTTATTAAATTAGTATTCTTAAAGATGGAAAATGTCAGTTTTGTTAATAATAAACAAAAATTGATTTTTTTCAATGGATTTTTATTCCATACATTTTATAAGTGAAAACACACGTAATAAGTAAATATGCAGGTTTAGTATGTACATATATAGTGTAGTTAAAATTTTTTAAGCTAATGATTTTTTTTATCCATAAATAGTCGAATATACAAATCCCGAATATGGAATTCTTCAAATATAATCAAAACTATCGGATGTCAAACACATGAATGTTGAATATGGAATTCTTCAAATATAATCAAAACTATCGGATGTCAAACACATGAATGTTAACAGATCACTGTATTTAGAAATCTATTGGTAACTAATAAATTAAATTATATTCCATTAATTATATATTTTTAAGTTATATACAACATGAACAATGACAAATGTAATAAATAATATTACCAAGGTGACAAGAAGAACCGCCGAATGGTGTCCTAATATCATTCCCATCAAGACCTGAATTAGGTGTTGGTGTAGGTGGTGCTGATCTAAAGTAAACAACAAAAAGTATTTCAACACTTGTATTTCTTCAATATATATTAAGTAATTAAGGCAATCAATTAGGAGTTTTTATTTAGTTTGTTAAAAGTTGAAATTTTAAACTAAAAAACTTAGATAAATTTCAGTAGCATTGCTCGCGTCCGTACATTGTACATGTGCCCTCCAGTTATATCTAAATGAGCAATATTGTTGCCGTGAAAACAGTTCAACAACATAGAATTCACAAAAATATGAATCCAACAAAATCAAGAAAAATAAACGGCATTTTTTAAGGCTCAGTCAACACACACCTTAGGGCTATGTTCTGGAACACTGGTGGCCTAACTATTGACAAATTAAGAGAATGGAAGACAATTATTACAAAAGAGGATGCTGATATATATGGGATAGTAGAAGCCGGCTCACCTACTTAAAATATCTGGTTTTATGTAATGTACAATCCCTCCCTCCAATGAATGGACCAGGCCTATCTTGGCTTGAAGCGCAGTGGGGATCCCAAGATGTTTTATATGGTGATATTAATGCCCCATCCACTAGATGGGATTATAACCAAACATCAGCAGTTGGGAGGATTTTTGAGAATGTTATTGACTCAAACCCAGTTGAAATTATTAGAAGCGAAGACAACTGCCCAACATTTATTTCATAACGGGGCAATACTAGCAATCTGGATGGAATTCTGACTCACACAACTCTAAAAAATGACATTCACTTTTCTGTGGAACATGTACCAGGAGAATTAGGACACAAGATATTAAAAATAATAATTAGAACCCATAGAACTAGTGGGCCCTCTGAACCTCGCTGGATGGAACTGTAGAAAGGAAAACATCTAGGCAGGAGTCTGCCATTTAATAGATGTAACGACCAGCCAAAATTTGTTGCAGGGGCACGGCTAGATCTAACACAGCCTGTAAGTAAGCGTCTACTACCTGAATGGGAAATGAAAGCGCTTCCTCCGGAAACAATAAATTGCCGTTATTCCGAGCAGAATTGGCTTCACGTGTACACTGACTGCTCTGCTCAAACAGCTACGCGGAATGCAGGTGCAGGAATATACAGCCAAGAGTTTATACTATCGATCCCTGCTGGTAGTCAGGGGACAAATTTTGATGGAGAAGTCAAAGCCATTTCAGCAGCATTAGCTGCAATTGAGAAAGAATTCAACTATCCCCAGATTGTGTTCTTTATTGATTCAAAAGCCGCCATACTGGCAATCTGCAATAGCCTGGATCATCCTGATGTCACAGAAGCTAGGAATCGGATTGATAATTTATTTAAAAAAGAAATTCGAGGGGCATTCCAATGGGTTCCAAGCCATTGTGGTATACCAGGAAACAAAAAAGCTGATGAGCTCACACAGATCGTTTCAGAAATATTACAAACTAATCCTCTGCTACCCTACGAATTTGCTAAAATTCTTTTACAAGAGATTAAGAATTGGCAAAAACATCAGGTAGCAGGGAATATTTAACAGAGGGACTGAGGAAAGAAACAAAAAGCAGGAAAGTATTGGTGGTAAATTTCTGCATGACAACTGGACATGATTATCTACAAAGGCATCTGCATAGGATTGGAGTTGTGGAAAGCCCTGTGTGCCCTCGTTGCCAGGAGGATGAGATGTACGACCTGCACCTCCCTGTATGCCCCACTCTGTCAGATATTCGCAGTAATCTTTCTGATGACACACACAGGCCCAAATACAATCAAGAAATTGGAGACATCCGTTATGGTGGAATTGTTTCGGGCGGCAAGGAGCTGAATGGCCTAATAGCCAACGGTGAAGGTGTTAAATAAAATTTTTTTTTTAAGTCGTTGAAAGTGATGATACATTATAATTGCTGATTTATGAAATTAAAAATAAAGCAATCTTTAAGCAAGCACAAATAACCTATGATTCAGTAAGGAAACAATTATTGCTAATAATGAAATACAGTGGACTCTCACTAATACAACTCGACTAAAACCAAGGGGGGGGATGGGATTAGTGAAAAATTCGGTTTACCAAACGGGAAAAGAAAGGCCACTTCATCAATACAAAAACAAAAATTATAAATGTATTTACAAATAAATATTTTTACAATAATTAATCATTGTACAGAAATTTATTTTTGAGCTATTTTCTTGTAAAATACAATATAATGTGTTTTCTTGAAACCCATAGTTAATTGTTTTTTAATAGTATTGACTACCATTATATTAACACTACAATTTCGCACTGAAGATTAATTTAAAAAAGCTTAATTATATTCATCAATATAGAAATTGGAAAAATAAAAGTGTTTCCAAATTTTAATATGTACATGGCTTGGATTTTATTTTGAATAAAAAGAGTTGGTATTTGTAACTAGATTATTTCAGGCTCAGCAGATAAGGTTTTGATAGTATAGTTTTATTGAATGTATGTATATATGCACTACAAATATAAAATTGAATCTTCAATTTTAATTTTTTTTTTTTAAAGTTGTGGTTCGGATTATGGGATGGTCCGGATTAGCAAGAGTCCACTGCCTTTACATATAATAGAATTTGAAGAAATAAAGGAAGTGGATAGAAATAGATAAGGTATTCATTCTGAAGTAAGAGGCTCATAGAACATACATGAAACAAAAAAAAAAATGTAATAAATTCATGGATCAAAAATATTTTTAAAAAATAAAAACTGCATTATAGAATAATAAAAAACATGAAATTCGTAAAATAAAATAAAATAAATAAAATTATAAAATGCTTAAATAAATAAAATTCGTTAAGCATAAAAATGGCAATCTTCTTATAAAAAGAAAAGATATAATGAGAAGATAGCAAGAGTATTTTAGTAAAATTGTAAATACTGAGTAAGTAGTGAAATGGTGTGATAGAATTAAGAAGAAACACTTAAGGCTACACATATATTAGACCTGTATTTCTCACGATACAATAATGAATGGCCATTGTACAACTTTGTTAAAAAAAAGAAAGAAAAAAAAAAACTCACAAAGATAGAACCTAGATGCCTACATTAAACACATATTTATCACAACATGATTTTATATGACTCTCTAAGGATTTAATCTGCTGTGGATCACTGTTTTCATACTTCAATCAATTGTTTGTTTAATATCAATTAAAAATTGATTTATATTTTATTGATTCATTGGGAGATTAAAGACTTGAGTGTTGCCGCTAAGAAGAGAAGCAGAATAGATATGAAATTAAAATTAAACAAATTGATATGTTTCATTAATTTTTTTTTTATTTATTTATTTTAAATGATATTTACAACTGTATACAAAAAATACATCTAGTAAATTTGCACATTGGTATAAAGACATGGAACACATGTTGAGAAACTACCCATTGGTAGCGCTCTAATAATATGTCTATATTAGAAGATCACGTGGCCATCTTCTTTTCAGACGCCTCGGAGGGTTATCAGGAATCGAATAGGAAGCAAGGTTAGAGACAAGAGGGTTGGGATGGTTATGAAGTTTATTATGGAAGGACAGATATCTGGATTGGGCCAAATCTGATACATAAGGAACATTAAGGTCATTATGGATAATTTTATTTGTAACAAAGTAAGGAGCATTGAGGATTTTATGAAGGATTTTGGATTGCAAGGACTGTATGCGAGAGGAATTTGAAGGCTTGGTTTCATTAATTTAGTACTGAGTTTTCTCAACCACCCATTCAATGCATTACATTTTAATGGTACGGTATGAATGCAATCTCTGAACTCTATTATAAGTGTCCTTAAACTGTGACAAATTGTAATATTTCTGAATAAAGTGTTTTAATAATAAAAAAACATTTTAATGGTAATTTTAACTTGTAGAAGAAACAAAATATTTTCATCAGTGCGGAAAGCTTATAAAAGAAAAATAAGAGTTGATAAACAGATATTTAAAAAAAACGTGCACTAGTTTAAGTATGTATAGTTTAAGTATATAAACACAAACTAAAATAATTTTTAATTTAAAAAATGTATTTCCAGTTGACTGAGGTAAAGTGACTTCGATATTATAACAATGCTAAACTAGACTGTGATCTTAAAATTATAATATGTTATTTGTCAGATTACCTGGAAGATGGAGGTGGCGATTTACTAGATCTAGGAGAAGTATTAGGAGTTGACTTAGGAGAATTCTGATGATTCTGAAAATAATAAAAAATAGCTTACAAAGGCTGCTGTATACTTAAAAGTAATAGTCCAGTCAATGAGTGCTCAGAAAAGGGGTATAAAATTAAATGGAAGGAACTCAATTTTAGATTTGAGGATCTTGTTTGGGCTAGTCAGAAGATAAATATACAAAAATCTCCAGTCCTAGGAGGAAAGCAAGATACGGGGGTACCCAGAAGGTTGTTTTTTCCCCGCTTATATCAGGGCAGCTATGTTTCCTTGCAATAGGGACATTCTATACAAAATTTTCAAGAAGATTGATGATATTCAGTTTTTCGCAATCTCATACAGTTTCTAAAACAATTGAGCGATTTTTGCCATATGTTTTTATCTTCATTTTACTAAACAACTCATTGTTTCTTAATTCTACAAAAATTCATGGGGAAGAAAGTGGTTGAGTATTAGATTTTCTTCAAAAATATATATTATTGTACTATCTTCTCTTCAACCCTTTAAATGTTAGAATAATTATAACTTTATGTGTAAATTCCAATATTTTGCTGGAAAACTTAACTTTCGCATGTTTCATTATTCCACTACTCTATACCTTTATATAACTCAATATACACACACATATAGAATTGAAAGCAAGAAAGCTCAGCGGCTATGGTAGTGGCTCCAGGTTTGAATCCAGCTGATGGCAGATAATTATTTATTCCGTTTCATCAACCGTGGATCAATCCTGTAGTCAGGAGACCCTCCCCCCCCACTGGGACATACCCAGCCTCTATAAAGTGAGTACTCTTAATGTATTAATCCAGCTAATAAAGTATACCTACAAATGCACACCTAAGAGCTCCTTAAATCGTGTAGACAAAATGTAAAGAAAACAACAATAGAAATTACAAAGCATAAATATACCTTCCCATCCATAACCAAATAGAACAGCAGTTTTATAAATGTAGCGTAACTGAAGATTCTGATAAAACTATTTTATTGCTTCATACAACTCCATTAGAGAACCTTAATAAATAATTCATTATAAAATGTCTAGTTTTGAATCGACACTTTTTTTTTTTTTTTGCTTTAGGGATTATTGTTATTAGAGTATACCTGGAGCCAGGAACAAAAAATGAACCTCATGGCAGGCGAAGGTTTTAATGAAAATTATGAAAGTGTACAACATTTTAACTAAAATAAGCTTTGTCTGCCACTCCAAAGCCGCTGCTTTCAGCAATGGGGGCCATGCAAAGAGGTCCAAATTTGCAAAATAGCCCTCATTGTAGGCTAGATGAAACTTTGACAGACGAATCTTTCTACTAAAAGGTGTTCTTGGCGCTGCTATCATATGAGACTTAATTTAAAAAATTGAAACTTTGTAGTAATAAATTAAATAACTTTAGGAGTATTGGAATTATAACTAAAATGAATGTATGTAATAAAAGGAAGAGATAATGTTGTCTGCCTCTTTTAGGCTGCGGCGATCTTTCGGCATTAAGCAAGCTTATTCAAATTGTTTACAATTTTTTTTTCTAAATATTATGTAACTTCCTCAATTCTCTATATTTTTTTATCTTGTCCGTTCTAGCCCTGAAGAAGACCTGCAAAGTCGGATCGAAATGTTGGCTTTTAATAAAATATTTTTGCCACTATTTAGCCTACTTATGACCGCCACCCTGGACCATCTCCTTCCTTTATTTTAGTATTTTTATCTTCAATCTTTCAAAACTTAGAGCAATTATATAAAACATCATGTGTAAATTCCGAGATTTTTCAGAAAAACATAATTTTCATATTTTTCATTATTCAACTGCTGACACTCTTTATGTAAACGCATATATACATATAAAAGTTCAATAAGTATTTTTAAATATTTATCATACTGTATATCCTGTAAGTAAAAGAAAATATGTAAAGAGGTAATAGTGAGTAATAGGACGGATATCTCGGAAACTAAGCGAGATAGCAAAAAAAGGTATAAAATAAATCGTATTGAAAATTTTATCAGCTTTAATTTTGTATACAACGTTTTTTTCGATGCAATGGGTAGTTTTGCTGATATAAGGGAACATCCAAAAAACAGTAATAAACATGAGGCAAACTTTTTATTTTTCAAAATTAGCCATAGTTCAGGATCGATATCTCAGAAACTAAGTGAGGTAATGAAAAAAGGTATATAATCAATCATATTGCAAATTATATCAGCTTTAATTTTGTATAGAACGTCTTTATGGATAGTTTTTCTATTATAAGCGAAAACCCGAAAAAAGTGACCTACTAGGCGCCCCCCACATCTGGCTCACCACCAACAAGTGGGGACTTTTAGTATGTTTACCTCCTTATTAGTCCGATCAATGTTACAAAGTCAAAAATTGTGTTACAATAGCCATTTCCTTCTAGCCCTAAAATGAATTAAAAAAAAAACGATATCTTCCTTCTGAATCAAATTTGTCTAGTATACTATGAAATAATTGTTAATTACCTAAATTAATCGTTTTGTCTCGTAATTACTTCCTATTCATCAAACAACATCAACATGCTTCCTAAAAAAAGGTACAAAACTTAAAATTTCCTGCTTTTCTAGTAAAAATTGGATCATGATTTATGTGTTTGTTAATTTGTACTTGCTCCATGAATTAAGCATAATACAAGGATCAATTTAAAAGGCATATAAACTATATATCTTATAAACATAAAATTGAAGAACCATGGTTTATATAAGTTCTTTTGTAGCTCCTGAGGTCTACTATAACCTTTTATGAGAAACCCAGTATGATAAATATTTATACATAACTTATTCAAGTGCTATAGGTATGTAGAAATGATATATACTTTTTACTTTCACTTACCGTGTATGTATGTTATCAGTCTAGCTTAAAAATGAAAAGTCGTATGGAAATGATATAGCATATTTAAGGTTTTTATAAGCTTTTAATGTCACAGCAACATTTTGGCAAACCGAAAGTTGTACTTTATATAATCGATTTAACACATTTTTACAATTTTCTGAAACACGGCTCTAACGATTTTGATTAAACTCAGTATATTAGTGTACTATTAAGCAGTTTTTAATATAATGTAAGTTTTATTCTCATTGAGGTTCTTTATCAGGGGTCGAATGTCTAATTTTCAATATTGGCTTCCTCTAAAGTACCTTTATTTGAAATAATTAACAATTTCACATTAATCTTTGATATAAAAAATAGTTAAATATAAAATAATTTGATAATTAACTAAAGGAGAAATAAGAGATTGTAACGGATAATAGTTGTAATAAAGAAATCAAAGGAATACGGGCTTGCCCGAAAGATTACAACAGGCTTCCAGACGTAACATGAGCTTCATATAATACGGGTTCCAACAATATTATGTTCATATACATATGCGGTTTTCATAAATGATATCATTTGTATTATTTAATATTTAATTGTATAAATACAGCGATATAAAAATTAAAATTTGTACATGTAAGGGTACTTAAACAAATAAAAATACCCACAACGAATTTTAGATAAATATAGTGTCAATAATTTTGTACTTTCACTTCCCCTTTGTCTGAAAATAACTTATTTCTGCTACGAAGAGGGTGGTAAGTGAAAGTCGTGATGCGCACGCCAGATTTTTAAATATAAAACGATGTAAATATTGATTATATAAAGAGTGAGAGCAGTTGAATATATAACTAATACTAAAGTTACGTTTTTCTACAAAATCTTGGAATTCACTCATAAAGTTATATATAGTTGCTCCGACATTTGAAAGGTTTAAGATAAAATAGTTCCTTCTCATGGATGAAATTTGGAAAGTGTGTAAAAGAAGAACCCCAAGGGCTGTTGTGGGATATTGGAATTTGACACCAGTGTTGGCTCCGACGATATAATTCTTATAGCGGACTCACAAGAAGCTCTACAGACATCATTGGTCGAGTGGGAAGAAGAATTGAAGCTGCGAGGGCTGCATATAAACCCGTCTAAGAGCAAGGTTATGTGTGTTGTAAAAGATAATGCGGAGCCTATGATGTTAAGTAATGGCGAACCCCTAGAGATAACAAATGCATACACATATCTGGGGACAATCATCAATGAAGATGGTAAAATAGACCAGGAGGTACTAAATCGGGTGATGAAGGCCAATGGGATATATTACCAGATAGCCAATACAATCATAGGAAAACGGGAAGTAAGCAGAAAGGGCAAACTCACGATATATAAGGCGGTGTTCCTCCCAGTACTTCTCTATTGATCTGAAAGCTGGACAACCGTCGATAAGCACTTAGGCAGGATCACAGCAGCGGAAATGAGATTCCTCCGAAGAATAGCTGGCAAAACTAAGAGGGACTGTGTTAGAAATGACAGAATCCGTGAGGAATTGGAGGTGACATCCTTGGCATCCTGGAAGAGAAGCAGTTGAAATGGTTCGGGCACATCTGCAGAATGGACGACACCCGAAAGGCCAAGTGGTTTATGGAAGCTAGACCGGAAGGCAGACGACCTCGTGGCAGGCCGAGACACACTTACCATAATTATATTGGAAAACTGGGCACAGCAAGAGGACGCACCATACCGGAGATAAGAAGACTAGCCAGGGACAGAGACCAGTTTGCAAGATGGACTAGGACTGCAGCTCCATGCTTAACGGATCAAAGGAGCTAGAGAAAGAAGAAGAAGATAAAATAGTAAAATAACATATATTTTTGAAGAACTTTAATGTTCTATCCTGTGTCTATTGCTAACAATGAAAAGTTTTAGAGTTAGCTAGTTTTTAGTCAAACAAAGATAAAAAAGTGAGGCAAAATTTGTAATTTTCTAAATTTGCGAATTACGAGAATGGTTATCTGGGAAACTATCTGAGATAACAAAAACATGAATATCATCAATCTTGTTGCAAATTTTTTCAGCTTTAATTGCCTATAGAACATCCTCACCTCTAGAATGCTTGGTTTCCTTATATAAGCAGAAATCCGAAAAAAAGTGACCAACAAGAAACCCCTCGCTGACATCTCACTTCTCGGTTAGGATTTGGGTCTTTTAGTACGATTACTTCTAAAATAGTTTAAACGAAATTTCTAGTCAAAAATCATGTTCCATCCATTCCCATTAATTGACTGGCATTATGAAGTTCCTGGCCTATTTTGTAAACCAATTAATTGCAATTTAATTATCATACTCTGGAAAATTTGGTTAATTTTTGTAATCTATTCATATAATTATTTTACGTGACAAGTTTTGAATTTCTGGAAATTAAGTCATTTACAGAGGCAGATGACGTTATTTCCTTCTCTTAAACCGAATATTTTTCATGTAGTAAAATTTGAAGTTCCCTAACAAGGGTGAATTTTGATGGCAAAAATTGTAATTTTTTAATTAAAGTCTGCCGGGTAGATCACTGTGGCCTAAAAGAGGCAGACAACATTATTTCTTCCTTTTATCACATACATTCATTGTAGTTATAATTCCAAGGCTCCTAAAGTTAATAAATTTATTACTCCAAAGTTGCAATTTTTTAGAGTAAGTCTGCCATATGATAGCAGCGCCACAGAAACAGCAGAACGCTCATCAAAGTCCGTCTATCAAATCAAAGTTTCATCTAGCCTGCGATGAGGGCTATTTTCAGCAAATTTGGATCTCTTTGCATGGCAGCTTTACATTATTTTAGTTAAAATGTTATAGACTTTCATAATTTACAGTCAAACCTTCGCCTGCGATGAGGTCCATTTTTTGGCCCTGGCTCCAGGGCTATTACCGAAGGAATTGGTCTGGCAGATGGGCCTCATTTAATTCTTTTTGCCAATTCCTGAATGCTAATTAGAAGTCGCCACCCCATAATAATCAGAGTAGGAGTGTCAGAATTCATTAATTGAGACCACGGTGAAATGAATATTAATTGATTAAGATGAGAATTGATTTCAAACTGTTTTGAACCAAGAACTCAGGGATACTTGCCCCTACATGCTTAGCCATCATGGTATCCTGATTATAAGGTGCAATAAGATGGTAGCCAAGGAATTAAAATAAATATTGAATATGGAGTGCCTCTCCATATTCAATATTTATTTTGGACTGCCTGGCAACATTCATAATATCATGGAAATATTTTTCATGAAAAATGGAAATTACTCTTTGAACTCACAGAAAATCAGACTGATGATATTTATGTAAACTTGTGTAAGGATATTCGCATGTAAATTATTATAATACCTTCAACAACTTCATGAGTCCTTCTAATTGAAGCATAAGGTGCCTCCTGGAATCTTGAAGAGAAGTCAAATGTGATTCAAGTTCTTCTTTCCGTTTTCGCAGTGCTCTCAACTCAGACATCAAAGCTGGGTTCTCTTCTAAGCTCAAAGCTGTCTCCTGTTGTCTCCTTTAATAAAACAAATTTTTTATCGTACAATACTGTGATAAAGTTATACTTTTTATAATTTATAATGGGCCTAATTGCCACAAATATAGTTAATTTAAGAAAATATAAAAGTTTATGAGTTACAATTAGAACAAAAAACAAAAGAAATAACAGCAGTTTAACAGCACAAAATCAAAACAGGGTGTCAAGCGATTCTCCTCCAAAAAATTCCTGTACATTTCTTGGTTTTTCCGGCTTCTCATTTTTTTTTTTTTTTTTTTACAGTTTTTTTCATATTTTCCCCAATTTTTCTAGTTTTTCCTCCGTAAATACCTCTGTTTCACATGAGGCGTTTAGTTTCAAACCAGTTTAAATAGAATCATTGAAAAAAATTATTTATTTTATTTTTCTCCAGTTTTTAATGTTTATTTTTATAATATTATATGTATTGTCATCAAAACCACTTAGATATTAAAAAAATTCGATTTCCTATCAAAAATGGTTTTATACAACCTTTTTGGATGTTCTGAATCCGTTTTGAAACCAAATGCCTCAAATAAACAATAATGAGTACAGCTGCCTATAGTCTAATATCAGCTCTTATCGCAACCTATACTCATGTTACACTTTTTATGAGCATGTTACACGAAAGGAGAATGAGTTTGTAGAGGAAGTTAAGTGGGCCAAAGTGGATCTGCCGAGACCAACAAGAAAGTAAAGAGAAAATTTAAAATCCAGTATTACAGATTATTATATTCAGGGGTTAACAGGAATGAAAAAACAGCTGGAGGAGTCGGGTTTTTGTTCCATAATGACCTGGTTTCAGTAATAAAGTCATGGAAGTTTGTGAATGACCGAATCATGGTGTTGGACATTGTGGAGGGAAAGAAGATTCATTCATTCATTCATTGGGCCTATGGACCTAACAAAAATGCAAGAATGGAAGAAAAGGATTATTTTTTTAGTTCCCTACAAAAAGAAGTGGATGACTGTGAGGGCACGCCTACAGTCTTGGGAGACCTGAATGGCCGAGTTGGGTGCGAACATGAGAAGTGGCACAGAACTTTAGGAAGGTATGGGGAAAACTTTCTAAATGGCAATGGAGAAATAATTCTAAATTTCTGTGTGATTAACAACCTTACAATAGCAAATACACTGTTCCCACATAAAGAAAAGCATAGATAAACAACAGAGGAACCGATCAGGAAAGAAAGATCCTTAATAGACTATGTTTTGGTGAAGAGAGAAGAAGTGAGGAACCTGTGGGATGCCCGATTCAAAGGAGGTTACGAAATCGGAAGTGACCATTATCTACTTCTGGTAAACAGTCTCTGAAAGGAAGTAAAACCCGGAGACTGAAACCCGGAATGATGCAGAGGAGATTTCAGATGAGGAAGACTACATCAGTGAAGAAGAACACCAAGACACGATTGGAAAGAAAAAACTAGGCAAGGCAGCTGGACTCAATGGGCAGCAAAGGCCAACAGATGTTCTTCCATCTTTTAAACCTGTGCTGGTTCCCAGAAGAAGATTCCCAGAGACTGGGAAGTAACGGTGATTCTGCCCATTCACAAAAAGGGGGACAATCGGGACTGCAGCAACCATAGGGGAATATTCTTTTTCAGTGTACCTGCAAAAGTCTACTCTGGAATTCTAGAAACAAGAGTGAGGAAAATTGTCGATTTGCAACTAGGGGAAGAACAGTATGGCTTCAGGAATCAGAGAAGCACACAGGATCTCATCTTCACGACGAGACAAATAACAGAAAATACTGTTAAGAAGGACAAAGAGCTCTTCATCTGCTTTGTGGACCTCCAGAAGGCTTTTGACAGAGTGAAGAAGACATAGAGAAGGCAGTCTGATCGGGGTGTAGACTACAGAACAGCCTTGGCGGTGATGAGTCTCAATAAAAAGATGAGGAATGTGATTAAAACCATAAGCCACATTTCAAAAGAATTTGAGACTACATTGGATATCTGACAGGGCTGTAGCCTGAGTCCATTGCTCTTCATCATAGTTCTAGACTAGGCACTAAGAAGGGTCAACCCTATAATGAGGAAATACCAGCTAGGGCACAGAAATCTGTACCCTACCAAATATTCCCTGTTGGCCTTCGCTGACGACCTCGTCTTACTAGCTGTCCATGATCGAAGCCTCCAACATAACATACATGTCCTCCAAGAGGAATTATCCACAGTAAATATGAAGATGCATCGGGGAAGACTAAATGCATGAGAATTGGAAAGAAACACCGAAGGATAAGTAGGGTACTAAGGGTTGGAGGACAGAGATAAGAGCAGAACGAGAGCTATAAATTTTGGGGAGCTCATCTCAATGAGAGTGGCTACATAGACGAAGAAGTGGCGCAAAGAATTGGAGCAACAGGGAGGATGTTCAAAATGATCAAACGGGGTTTTCTGGAAAGAAGAGAGGTGTCAAAGTGGATCAAACTAGACGTCTATAAATCAACATTCCTCCCTATCCTATCGCAATCTTCAGAATCATGGACCCTCACCACAAAACACATAAGTCAGATACAAGCCATGGAAATGAAGTATCTACGTAAAATAGAAAGAAAGACATGGAGAGATACAATACGCAGCATCACCATATGGGCTAATCTCTACGTCAAACCAGCGGAGACCATTCTGGAGGAGCATAAACTAAGGTAGTTTGGACATCTTCTTAGGATGGATCCAGATAGAAGCGCCAAGAAGTCTTACGAGAGCCGCATAAGAAAAAACACAGAGGAAGGCCTCTTCTGGGAGGACAGTGTAAAGAAGGCATACAGGAAGCGCGGAATAGAAGAATAGAGTTAGTACAGGAGAGAGACAGCTGGGCCAGACTCTATAAGCAGGACCCTCACACTAAACGGCGGTAGAAGAGGGAATGACTATGATGATGATGATCAAGATTTTTTTTAGTTCTATTTTTATTATAGCAGGAGATTAATGTAATGTAAGAGTTTAAAACCCCTAAAGCACCAGAATGGAAATCGTAATTATTATATCTTGTACACATCTGTTTATCATATTGCCGGGCAATATGTATTTCACACGTTACATATATTTTATTAGATATGCCTTTATTTCACAAATGGCCTGTTCGATTTTGCCCAAAGCTAGAATAAAGTTGGGCGTTGGTGAAAAAATTATACTATATGAATCTTACTGAATTCCATCTACTACTTTCTCTTAGATATGTACAAACGTGTTTTTCTTGATATACCCGTTCAACTTGGCCCAAATTTGAAGGAAAGTAAGAGATTGGCAAACAAATGATCTAGTAGGTAACAATGTTATCAAATTCCATCCATTACATTAAACAAATATATTAGCTTTCGGATCTGCAAATACATGTGCCTACACCTTGAAAACAGCAAGTTTGATTTGACACAAAGTTGGAGAAATTTGAAAAATATTGCAAAACATTGTCTAGCATCAATTTCACTAAATTCCATTTTACAATTAAAATTAATATAAATAACAGTTAAAATAATAATGACTGTGAAATTTGGAAGGCACTGAACATATGGAAAGAGGTCACAAAAATGCATTTTTGAACTAGTTACTGTTGAAGGTAAAACGTAGACATCAATCAATTTTAAGTCTTGTGTATAAGCTTTATTTTTACGTACTTTTTAAACTTCACTCATATTCTTACTCTAATTAGTTTTGATGTGACTAATGAAAATAATTGGTTTCATTAACACCGAACAAACATAAAATTGAATTTTTTAATGAATTTTCGTCCAATTTATTTTAGGAATGAAAACATACTTATTAAGTACATAAGCATGTTCATTCAATGCATACATACAAACAGTAATAGGAATTGTTTCATTTCACGAGTTTTTCGTAATCACGAATAATAAAATATACAATTCACAAATGTGGAACTCATCTGCATTTTTATATTCGCTGATGCTGAAAACTCCCAGTTATCAAATCAAGATTACTTAATTTTGAAAACAGTTTCTCCTAAAGATATTATTCTCAAATGAAAAATTATAGACCTAGAGATACAGGTAACGTGTAATCAATGAAAATTGTGAGGAATTGGCCTTACTTGGCAGATTTTTTCATTTGCTTTTGGGATAATTTTCCTCTAGCTCTGTTTATTAAATACTATTATCCTACTTTTCTAAGCTGTATAGGGTATATCACAAAAAAAAAAAAAAATTTAGAGTATTTATTTTTGTTTTATCCTTGCAATGTTCGTTTTATAAATTACTTTTAATGCTTCAGACATAAATGGATAAAAGAAATAAAAATAATTCATTAATAAGAATATAAAACTTCTTAAATTTAAAATTTGAAATATGAAAATACTGTCTCATTCCAGATTACACATTATGTTTTTGTAACTTTTCGGATTTATTCGATATTAGGGTTCATTATTATGTTATCGGGGGCTCTTTTTATGAAAATACTGTAGAAGTTCAGATTGCGCAATTGTGCATCACGTTTTTGCAATGTACTGAACTGTAACATTTTGGACTTGATCGGTATACGAGTTTAATATAATGTTATCGGAGGCTCTTTTTTTTTTTTTTAATACTGTCGGATTACAGATTGCACACCAAGTTTGTGTAACTTTTCGGATTTAATCGATAAAAGGATCCTCTATAATTTTGTGGGGGGCGATTTATATTAAAATACAGTTGGATTAGATATTGCGATCATATTTTTTCATAAAATATTGTACCCAAATAAATGAATTAATCCGCAAAGTTACAAAAACTTGATGTGTGGTTGCGCAATCTTTAATTTGTAGTATTTTCATAAAAAGTACCCACTACAACATTATAGTAGACCCTAATATTGATAATATCCTAAAAATTAGGAGAATCAATTTTAAAATAAATCTAACTGTTTCAGATGGCGCTACATAGCTCTACTCTTTAATGCTATAATGCATATTGCATATGCGTAATACCTTTGTCTTTTCACGCTTCTTCGATTGACCAGGTCTGTTTATCTTTCTTATCTTAAATTTCTCCTTTTGTTTTCCTCTTTCCTGTCACTCTATTTTCCATATCTCCATCTCTATTTTGTATATATTGATAGATTTACTCATTTATCTTTTTTAAAGTAGTCAGTATATTTTGATAGATTTTCCAATATCTCAATTTTCTATTTATATCTATTATTTCCTTATATACTTCATTTTCTTTTTGTCTGTTTTACATTTTGTTCTCAGATTACCATTTTTTCATTTCTTATGTTACCTTATTTTGATTATGTTTATTTCATTATTCCGTACTTTGTTGCTGTTATTGTTTATTTCTTAGTTCTCTGTTACTGTTATTATTCTATCTACTTTATTTTACTTTAATGTTCCCTCTATCTACTTTATTTTACTTTAAGTTTATTCTATCTACATTTTTTAGTTTATGCTTTCACCTTTTTAATTTCAATTCTTTATTATTCAATTTTTATAGTTTCTCATACCTATTGTTATCTGGGTTTTTCTTAGCCCTGATGAAGGCCTGAACTTCGGGCCGAAACATCGGCAAATTTAAAAATAAATTCAAAATCAATTTCATACATAGCTTTTATATGTAGGACCAACAAGTGAGGAGTAAGAGAATGTTAACTGTTTGCATTTTTCACAAGAAAAATCTATTTTGTCGGTTTTTCCCCATAACTCATAATCTATGCATCTATCGAAGAAATTCAATATAGTCAATTTGAAAGAGCATTAAGTTTTGTATGTACCTTATGTAAACACGTTAATATGTGAGAAGATTAAGGAGCTGTTAAACCTCTTAAAATTGAAGGCATATTTCCCTTGTAGTATCTGCCGCTCTCAACTTAAATGCTTTTTATTCGGCTAATGGAACTATTTTATAACAGAACTAGAATGTATAAACAAATTACATAGGTTTTATATATTCTGTTAGTATGAGAGACTTCAATATGCATAACAATCATCAAAAAATTAAGGACCAAAATGCGTTCTAAAGTCCGAGCAGTCGAACAACATTTCGCCTACTCGCATATTATGACTCTACAAAAGCTTGAATTAAATTGAAAGTGCATTATCATTTTTATTGAGCTCGGGTATAATTGTTAATATACAAAAAGTTGAAAAGCTATTCGAGCGCTTGGACTTTAAAGCGCATTTCAGTTCCTATGTTTTTGATTACTATGAATTTTGATGTCTCTCATACTAACATAATACATAAAAACTATGTAATTTGTTTATACATTCTAGGTTCGTTATAAATAAAGTTAAATTAGCCGAATCATTGAAAAAAGAAGCGCTTGAAAGCATTGAAAAGTTGAGAGCGGAAAATACTATGAGTGAAATACACCTGCGATTGTCCTTTAACAGCCGCTTAATCTTCTGAAACATTAACATTTCCACATGAAGTACATGGGAAATTTAGTGCTATTTCAAATAGATAATGATAAATTTCTTCGAGAGATGAATAGATTATGAGTTTTTGGTGAAAAACTGACGAAAAGAGATTTTCCTTGTGAAATAAGCAAACAGTCAACCAACATTTAGGTACATATTCTATGCATCAAATCAAAATTTCAGCTGTCAGTTCTTCTGTTAAATGAATCGTCAAATTTCACCTCTTTAATTTAAATTTTAGTATATAAAGCAACAGGTTTCGACCGAGTGACCAAAGTTGTCTGTTCAGATGAGATTTATCAATGGTATTATTTAAAATGATAACTATAACTATAAATCCTTCTGTTACATATATGGTCGGTAGCTGCTATTCTATATAGCCCTGGAGCCAGGGCACGAAAATTGACCTCATCGCACGTGAAAGTTTAATTGTAAATTACAAAAGTTTATGTAATTCTGAGTAAAAAGAACCTTGTCTGCCGTTCCAGAGCAGCTGCTTTCAAAAATGGCGGCCAATTTAAAGAATATTAGGCCAGTAATTTGAGGATCGATACGGGAAATCATATAGAAAAATGTCAGAAAAGTTTTCATTTTTTAAAATTTGTATATATGAATTCACAAAAAACAAAATTCATAATGTGGGCCACCAAGGGAAATATTTAAAAATATCGATATTTTTTTATTTTTTCACATATAACTCCTAAACGATGCATCAAAGTGAAAAGTGAACTCTTTAATAAATTAAAGAACGTTAAATCGTGCGCCAAATGAATACTTAAACTTTATAATTTGGTTAAGTGGTGAGGTATAAAACCACAATTAACCAACACTGATTATTACCAAATTTGTCAAAAACTGAGACAAAATGCTATAAATGGCCCTGTAATATGGAAATGAGTTTTCGAAGAGAATAAACCCATAGAATCAAAGTTGGAGAGCATCCTATTTTGCGTCCACTGAGTAGACATTTTTATTGTAGGGCAATTATATAGCATTTCCAAATCAAATTAAACTTTTTTAAAGTCAAATTCAACCTTTTCCAAGTCAAATTCAACCTTTTTTTATTCATTTAATTATTTTTAATTTTTCGATGTATGAATTTAAAATTGACCTCCATTTTATGATTACGCCACCTTTTTAAGTTTTTCGGATTTATTTGATATAAGAGTGTATTCTTATGTTTCCGAAGAGTTAGATTTTGAAAATGACCTCCACTTTAAGATTACACCACTTCATTTCGACATATATCAGTTTTTCGAATTTATTCGATATAAGGGTCTACATTTATGTTTCCGGAGCCATAGATTTTGAAAATGACCTCCATTTTATGATTTTTTCTTATGGCTCCGGAAACATAAGAATACACCATTATATCGAATAAATCCAAAAAACTGAAATACGTCGAAACACAGTGGTGTAATAATAAAATATAGGTCATTTTAAAAATCTACAGCTCCAGAAACACAAGAATACACTCTTATATGGAAAAAATCCGTAAGTCGAAATGCAGAGGCATAAACATAAAATGGAGGTCATTTTCAAAATCTTCGGCTTCAGAAACATAAGAATACACCCTTATATCGAATAAATCGTAAAAACTTAAATAAGTCACAACGCAGTGGGTTAATCTTAAAATGGAGATTATTTTCAAAAACTAGGCACACAACATTATTATTGTCGTAACAGTCCTTACTAGACTCTGATATGGAATAAATCCAAGCAGGTACAATAAATCGATATCCGAAAGTTATCATAAAATCGATAGTATTTTGAAAAACTCTACATAGGGAAGCCTCATATTGGAAAATGGAGCTTTTTTCCACAAAAAAAATAAAAAATTTACAAAAAATCTAAACTTCAATTTGAAATGGAAAAGGTAGAATTTGAAATGGAAAAGAATTAATTTGAAATGGAAAAGGTTTAATTTGACTTCGAAAAGGTTGAATTTGATTTGGAAGAGGTTGAAATTGACTTGGAAATGCTATATTTCTTGAATGGGGATTCATTATTTTTATTTGAACTTCGGTATCTTTCAACACATCGTTTATAAAAATCCTTTGCTGCTGAGAGGTGGAAAAGAGGCTTATACTGTATGTAACAGACTCTAAAAAAAAAATAACTCAATAGAATAGACACCCGTACTGTTGAAATATTGAAAATCACGTTTACCTTCATTACCAATTTCTAACCATCAGGAGATTACCGATTTTGTTCAAAGCACAGAATTACGTTAAGTTCATTACCTTATATAAAAAATAAATATGTCTATAGATGTATACAGAACAATATGTCCATACCTTACAGAAAGTAAATAGTATTGGTATATTTTTCTTTTTTGAAAAAACTGTTTTAACTCCATTTTTCTTACATTTTGTTCATTACTCTTGTTTAATTTCAATATAATGGCAAGGGACATTATTGACAGACAGGTGGATAGACAGAGGTTATATAATGATCCATCATCATTATATCAATTATACATTATCTAAGTTTACCAGGTGGTCCCTTAAGGTTGTTAAAAACAACATCCATTATATATTAATTCCAATTTGAAAAAAATAGTTGGTAACTAAAAAAATTCCCTGACTTCACCCGGTATTGAAAATTCCCTGAATTTTCCCATTTTTTCAGGTAGATGGCCACCTACCTTAATAAATGATACCATTTCAGTAAATCAAATTTACAATTATCATGTTAAATTAGGCAGCAGGGAGAACCAAAAACTATTATTATTTTATTCCCTAGGATTATTATTAATTATGGAAATTATCATAGCAATGGGTCCTGCTCAACAGACATCTGATAAGACATATTTCTGTCTAGTACAAAGTGTAAAGTACTCTCTTTTCACATAAAAAAGAAAGGTTTTCACATAATAATCTTTATGGACATCTAAATGTCTATCTACAAGGTACCATTTAATGAAATTCAAGTAAATAAGACTTAAACTTAACTTACCTAAGCCTAGTGATTTCACGCATGATTTCTCTATTTTTTGCTTCAAGTTGAAGTATCAATTCCCGCTGTGCCCTAGAGTTATCTAATCCTAGGTTTCCTTCTACAGGACTCCTTCCCTGTTATTTTAATTAAAAGTACTAGAATATTAAATTGGCATTTTTCTTATTTTATATTTTACACTTTTAGTTTAAAATAAACTTACTGCTTGAGCTTCTTGTGCAAGACGAGCAGCATACCTTGCTATCAGACGATGCTCATCATCTATCCGCATACTTTGAATCCCCTTACCAGGACTACAAACATAATAAAATTTTAAATAATAAGTTTTACATCTAAGAAGCACAATTAATAAATTAATAAATGGATAAAACTGTTTATTTGATAAATTAGAAAACTATTATTTACAAATTAAATAAAGATAAGTTGAAAATTATATCTCCTGTTCATATCAGATAGCTAATGCTCAACTGTGAACAAATTAAAATACAAAACATAAAATAAATAGTAAATGTGTTCTATACCAGGTGTCTTTAAACTATGGCCTGCACCTCTAAAAGAAAAAACGTAAATTATTGAGGATGACAGACAAGCTGAAAATATAATTCTTTCCTGAAAACTTCAGGTAAGATATGAAGTGAGAAACATATAAATGTGAGGTATCAAAAGAAAATATAATAAGTATCTGAAAAGAACATTTCAAGGAGTTTCTCAATCAAGAAAAACCCACAAACAGGACATGGACCATGTTAAGGTTTAAAGATTGTGAAAAAGCTGAAAGCCAAGCTATTACAACTAGTCTAGAAAATATGGGAGGAGAAAAGAATATCAGAGGCTTGGAATACGGTATCCTATTAATGACCTCCACGTATGTGAGTCATAATTTCAAAAGCATAGCATTCCTTCCATACTAGTTCCAATTGTCTCTAAGATATTGATCAATATCTTGCTAAACTGAATTTATCCGTATTATGCATATATAATGGATGACCACCAAGCAGGATTCAGAAAAAGAAGGAACACACTAGACCAGATCTTCATTCTAAAAAAAATATCAGCTCGAAAAATGATGGGAAATAGCTCAGGATGTGCAAACCTCATTTGTAAATTTCAAAGCTGCCTGTGATTTCATGGACAGAAACTGTCTTTGTAAGATCAATAAAGAGCTGGTAGTGCTCAAGAAATTGATGATACTGACATAGGTTACAAATGATCCAAAAAAAACAAAAAACTGATTCAGATACAAGCAGAAATATTTAAAGCCTTCGAAGTTCAAACAGGTTTGAGGCTGGGAGATGGACTCACTGGTAGGTAATAAAAACAAGATCAAATGAAAATAGAGGTGTAAACATTGGAGAGAATCATAAAATCCTAGGATTTGCAGTAGACATAGCTATCCATGGAAGCAATCAAGAGGATTTTGAGAGAATCCCTAAGACTCTGATAAGAGAAGCAGAGCAAATTGGCATGCAAGTAAATAAAGATAAAACGAAACAAATGATAGTAAGCTTTTTTTTCTTCTTTTGATTACCCCTTACCTCACCATTTCTAGTATATGGGAAAGAGGGGTTCTAGAGGTACAGCCAAACCAAACCAAACCAATGTGGGTAGGTTAAGATTCATTCCATGGGTCCAACAAGAAATAAATTTTTATCCGAATTGGAATGACAGGAGTAGATATTCCGGGCTGGATTTGAACCAGCCTCGCTAGACTCAAGAATGTTAAAGTTTACGCTTTAACATACTCAGTCACCTCATTTGGTAGTAAGCCGAAAAATCCATCCCAACAGGATTTGTGTAGATAGAAAATTTTCCTGAGAGTAGAGATTCTAAAACCTCGGCTTCACAATAACCTCAATAGATTATCAACTATCTGAGATAGACCAGCATATAACAAGCACAAATAGACCTTTCTTCTCTCTTTCAAGGATAATAACACCCAAAAATATCTCTAGAAATGTCAAATTATGGATGTAGTATGCTATAGCAAAGCCATTGTGGATATAGAGTTGTGAGATCAGGACTCTATCCAGCACCTTATCCTAGAAACAAGTATTAAAACATTTGAGAGGAAAGTCCCCTGCATGATAACTGGAGTGATCTGGAAGCAGAGTATAAACATGTGAAAAATCAATTGCTTACTGATCAGTCAATACCGCAATAGGCATAGAGATTAAGAAGGTGGGGTATATAGCTCAAAGCATGAAGACATGAAAAAAAAATCTGGTGTGTGCATCACATGAGTTTCACTTACTACCCTCTTCTTAGCAGAAATGAGTATTTTGAGGCGAAGTGGAAGTAAAAATCATTAGCACTATATTTATTTACAATTCATTGTGGGTATTTTTATTTGTTTAAATACCCTTAATATAAAAATTTTAAATTTTATTTCGCTGTATTTTATACAATTTTTTTTTCGGTTGGCACTACAGACCATGAAGATCTTTGGCCATGAGATGTTGTCTCCTTACAGACGTGTGATTCTTGCGGGAGCTTAGATAGCCTGAAAGGGGTCACCCAACCTCACGTTGCTACGAACCATGGTTTCCATGGTAAAGTGGCAGGCCACCTGCAGCTCCACAGCCGATCCCTTTGGAACCAATCTGGCAATGTCCTTCCCACCGACTTTCTCGGGTTCAAGGACAGTGACAAATCGGTCTAGATCCATGGATCATGGCTGCTCGGAGTCAGCAGGCGCACGAGAACCTATATTTCTTTCCCCGAAATAGAACGTCCATGGACCGAACCTCAGGGGGGCTATTAACCTATGCCCGGCCGGTGTGAGTTGCCGCCCAGTAGGCTGACGGGCCTCACATACCGGGGGAGAAGACTCGGGCAGCATGGCTTTCTCTGGTGGACGGTCAGCCAAATCGGGCGGTCACCCATCCAAGTACTAACCACGCTCGACGTTGCTTAACTCTGATTACCTATTGCAAGCGCCTTAGCCCGTACGGCTACCCCAGCTCCCTTTTAATTTTATACAATTAAATATTAAATAATACCAATGATAACATTTATGAAAACCACATATGTATATGAACACAATATTGTCACGTATTATATGAAGCTCAAGTTACATATGGAAGGCTGTTGTAATCTTTCAGGCGAGCTCGGGCAAGCCCGTATTCCTTTGATTCCTTTATTACAACTATTATCTGTTACAACCTCTTATTTCTCCTTTAGTTAAGTATCAAATTCTTTCATATTTTTAAACTCCCAAAAAAAAGATATAAAATAAGAATAAATAGATAAATACAATTAGAAAGGAGCAATAAATTAATTTTATAAAAAAACAATTGCGACAAAAAAAAAAAAAAGAACTGATTTAAAGAAAATAAATCATTTATATATATATGTTATACAATACGCAATGGTATTGTAAACTATAAAAAAACATAGGGATTAAGATAGGAAAAGATATATATGTATACAAATTGAGGAATGTAAGAAATGAAATACATCGAAATTATACACAATCTTGTAGATGGAAAAAAAAAAAATGGATAAAAACAAACAATCTCTTATTTTTTATGCATCACCCCGCAGTGCTATGCCAAAAGTGATACTGAATCTTTCCAATTCATAAATAATAAACAAAAAGTAAAATAAAATAATGGTGTATGAAAAGAAAAAAAAAAAATTATCCTTAATTCATGATACATAATTAACCAGCGTCTGATTGAATCATGAAGAGGAATTGGAATAAGAGAGTTTTGAATGTGGATAAGGATGGTGCATGGCAGATTTCAAGTGGGATGGCATTCCAAAAGGTGGAGGAGCGGACAATAAAAGAATGTTGAAATGAAGCAGATCTATGGAAAAGGGTGTAAAGATCAGAACGCTGAGATATTGTGGAGAGGGAGTAGACATATGATTTAAATTGGAGGAGACTGTATACATAGGACAGGCTATGATTGTTGATTATTTGATAAAGGAATGAGCCAAGGATGCATTGTCTTCTGAAGGAGGGGAAGAGTCACTCTAACTGGGCATAGTAGTGAGAAACACGGGAACGTCTCGAGGTCCCTTCAACAAATCTTACTAAGATGACTTATTGAAGGAAGCTAGTTCTACATATCAAGGGTGATAAATATTTAGAACGCAGTCTTTTTAAAAAAAAAAAAAATGTTTTATTTGTGCCAACATTTCAACCATAACAAGTGTGTCATCTTCAGGGCGTGGGTTGAGTACTCTAAAACCACTCCCTACCTCTCAAACCACGCCCTGAAGATGACCCACATGTTGGGGTTGAAATGGCACAAATAAAAAATTAATTTTTTTTTTTTTTTTAGTAAAGACTGTGTCATAAATATTTATCACCCATGAAAATCTTACTAAGCTATTCATAATTCTTTTTAGTCTGTCCCAGAGTTCCACCGAGAGGGTGCCGTAGATCACGCAGCCATAGTCTAGATGGGGGAAGATGAGGGAGGATACTAGGAGTCTACGTGTGGATATAGATAAGTGAAAGTAAAAATTATACAATAAAATTATGTCCAAAAATTTATATATTTTTAATTAAATGAAAATTCATTAAAAAGGCAGAAAACGATAATATAAACAAATTTTATAATTTTTTTTTCTCTTTTTCTAGGGGGCATTGGTACAAACTCTTGGACAATGGTCTAATATTTTCCAACCTAGTATCACCAAAACGAGTTTCATTGAAATTGGTGATCCCAGGTCCGTAAACTCCCTTGTTAGTAATAAGTTTTTTTTCTTTTTTTTTTTTGGTAATATAAGCTTAATGAATAAATTTCAGTCATTATTAACTTAATTTTGAATTTCTTCATTTAATAATATTTGGCATTTTAATTTATTTTTCTCTAGTTCTTAGTAATCTGTCTTTTAGTAATAAATGATAATCATTCTACAGGTTTTTGGGGAATCTTTTAATATTGACTTTCTCCCAGCATTTTTAATTTTTTTTTAATTGATTTTTTCCTATTTTCTAATAACATTTTTTTTTTTAAACTTATGAAAAAAGTAATGATTGTTTAATATTAATAAATTGTGTGATATGCATTATATAAATATCTAATTGTTGCTACTAAAGCTATTGCAAATCTATGACTTCAATTCAATGTTCATCCTATTATCTTTCTTTCAAAAATTAAAATTGTTTCTATATATTTGCTACTATCGATACATTATATATATCAAAATTATTGTTTGTTGTTAACAACCCTAGTCTTGATATATTGTGTTGATACATCAATTCACTATTAATATATATATCGATATATATTAAAAAAACACCAATTTTTTTTTTTCAGTATTCACATCTTCATGGTTGACTCGGACAGACTGAATGCATGACCAAATTCTGTGGCACCAACACTCTTTAACTTTTGTGGCACAATAGATGGTTTAAAATATCCATTTAATGACTAATGTTAGAGATTAACATTTTTATTTTATTTACACAATCAGTAGTAACCTTTTGTTTCTTCTTCTTCTTCATGGGCGCTACAACTAATCGCTGAGTCTTGGCCTCCTCAATTAGTTTCAACCACTGGTTTCTCTCTCTTGCAGCTCTCCTCCAGTTAGTTAGTCCAAGAAGAGCACTACAATCAGCGTCGACCCCATCCATCCAGCGCAATCTAGGTCTTCCAACTCTTCTTTTTCTTTCTGGAAGTGTCAGTATAATTTTGCTGGTTGGACTATTCTCATCCATTCTGGCTGCATGACCCACCCATTTCAAACACTGTATTCTAATGAACCGGACTACATCCGTATCATTATGTATGGCGGCCAGTTCTGCATTACTCCGCCTTCTCCAATCGTTACCTGAGCGTACTGGTCCATAAATGCGACGTAGTACTTTTCTATCAAAGACCAATAGCTTGTTTTCGTCTGTTTTGTTTAAAGGTTGTTAAGTAACCTTTTGTTTTAACACTTTAATTTTAATTTAAGAATAAATTGTTGGGTTGGACTGATTAAGGGTGTTCATATATTTAAGTTTTAATTCTGGAATCAAACCAGTTTTCATTTTTTCTTTCAATTCAATTCATTTTATTTATTTATTTTTTTCTGTTTAAGAGAATTGTTTGTATTCTCGAGATGTTTGTATTTTTTTTTTTAGTATTTCTTTTTGATGTTAACAATTAACTATTAATTTAATAGTCCTCATAAAAAGAAATATGAAATGCTAAATTAGGATAAAATAGAAATTGCCAAAATTAACAGTTTATTAAAATTGAAATAAGACATTAAAGTTTAAATTTAATAACAATTTGCCAACTTTTATAAAATTTACGACAACTCCCGACTTTTCCTGATCATAGACAATTCCCAAAATTCCCGACAACAGTCTCTTCAACAGTCAGTGTATCTAACAAGACACAATATTCCTAGATAGGAGAATTTTTATAATATAATAAAGAAATACATAGAAAATATAATATATTTTCAACTCAAACACAGATATTGTTGGAAAAGTCTACACAGCTTACTTAAAACTCAAAATTAATATATTAAATTTAAATATTAAAATAGTAAAATTATTTACCTCCGTGCAGTTGATCGAGAATCAAGAGAGCCCATGTCATAAGAAGGGTAATCAGGAAATCCATTATGTGGAGGAAGTGGAGATGGAGGTCTGTAAACATTAAATTAAAAAAAATATATTTTATAACTAAAGTAGCTGGAGCTGTAAGAAGATTTAACAAAAGATATAGTCATCCTAGTAACCAGATAATCAGAGTAAAGTATTAAATCAGGATATTCAACTAACCGTTAACTCATTAGTAGATAAAATGGGTCATTAATGACAATTTTTTCCAACAAACTTCTATAATACAATCTACTGTCAACAATATCTACATCATAAAGGAATAGATATAATAATTAAATTTTAATTGGAATTATAACTTAAATGATAAAGTTATGATCTGAATCAACTGGTTAAAAAAAAATAATATTCTACTCACACTATATGTGAAAGGTTCAAAGTCTTTTCAGGTTGATCAGGATATCTTGGAAGTGAAGTCCTGGGTTTATCAGGCACACAACGAAATGACTTCCTCAAACTATGGCCAATCTGCTTACTTGGAGATTTCTAAGCCACAAAAAAAAAAGTATATATATATTGAAATAAAAAAAAAAAAAAAATTATATATATATATATATATATATATATATATATATATAAACATTTAAATTCCTTTAAGATTAAATGGCAATGAGCCTACACTTTCTTTAGTAGATGAACTATAATAAATAATCTCTATAATTCGTAAAACATTGGTGTTTTAATATGATCAAAATAGAATTTTTTATTTATTTAATCTTTAGTTGTTGCCACGGAAGAACCCCATACAAATACAGTCTATCTTTTTAAAACAAACATTATTACTCTTATGGTATTACAAATATTTTTTTTTCTTTTTTTCATTTATATGCCACATTACAAATATTACAACAATGTTATTACAAGAATGCCTTATTTGGTAAAACATCAGACAGTTAAAATAACGCCAATTATTAACAATTATATGAAATATAAAATTCTGTCAAACCACATACACAATAGCAATAAAAACAACAAATACATTTTATTTTTTAAATATACATAATAAACTATGTTTTGAAATTCAATTAAAAGATTACTCGCATGAACAAAGAAAACAAATAAATAATATTCAAAGGACAATATTCCCAATTACCCCACCAATTTTCTATAATTTGATATATTAGATATGAAAAAACATGATTTTCTCATATCTTCTGTAGCAGTTGGCTCAAATATTTCCATCCCATTAAGATTACCTATATCCTGGTAAATTCTTACTCTTAAAGTATTATATATTGGGCATTTAAATAATACGTGATAAAGTGTCTCTTTTTTTTTTTTTTAATATTACACATTTTGCACTCAAGTTGTGGAGTGAATTTTACAATTTTATTATCAACTGAGACGTTGATCATGTATTTTCCTGAGAGGCGAATCTGCATTGATAATCTGGTATATTTGAAGTTAATCGGCATCAACAAATACTGCGAGATCTGGGCATTATTAAAAAAAAAGATTCAAATGTTCACTATAAGCTGAGCCATGCAATGTTTTCTTGTCACCCTCCTGTAATGTCGTTTATATTTATTTAATATCCTGTCGATATTTGCTCTAATTATGGCTGAATTGGTTTCATAAACTATATCGTCTTCATTAATAGCATCTAACAATACTTTCAGCTGAGCACACCAATTATATTTTGACAGAGAAGAATTAGATTGATAACATCTGTTTATTAGCTTTTCGAAACATATTTTAGGGTATCTAAATTCCTCCATTGCCACAAGCTTAACCAACCAATTCAAGCCAGCTAGAATGCCTCAATTCATCTTCAACAGATGAGATTAAGAACTCTTATTTGAGCAGCAATGAAATTCAAACTAAAATATCCTGGTGGAACAAAGGTTTAGATAGACAAAGGACACTCACAAGAAGGTTGTTCAATGCCACCAAAAGATCTGGCAATCAGGATGTCTACAGGACCGTTCTCACATATCATACATCTGAGAGGAAAACTAAAAGACGGTCTTGGAGGAAGTTTGCCAAGAAATAAACAATATTTCTAAGGTGTAGGATAAAGAAAATACTTTCTAAACAGAAAGACCAAGGAACACTGGGTACACTCAAGGTCTATGGTCTATGGTAAATATACCACCAACGAGCTTGAAACTCTGAGAGAACTGGCAATAGCACACTTTCCTGGTAGTAACACAATGGAGAAGGCTTATATTGATACCGCACTTCCTAGCTATACAGCTAATCAAGAAGTGTGGAATAAAGTAAGAAATATTGTTATGGTAAATAGACTGGGAAGGGCATTAAACTCATTGTCTTCTTATAAATCTGTAGGTTTGGATGTTATCTTATCAGAATTGATTCAAAAAGGACTTTCAATAATTAAACTCTATCTCTTAAGAGTTATTAAGGGGCAGCTTAGCGTTTGGTTTCCTTCCTACAGATTGAAGAGGATCCAAACTGTACTTTATACCAAACCCTGGAAAGAGTTTTGTATACAGTTGTCTTAAAGCACTTTCCTGCGGACTTCATTTATTCCTTTATTTCTCCGTCGATCTATCGAGGTATTTAAAATTCTTCACTTGTTCCAATGGAACTCCACTCAAGTGAACTATTCTGCCATCTCTTCCTTGTTTTCTGCCAATCCTCTTAGTTTTAGTTTTTTCCACATTTATTTACATATTTATCTTATTTAATCCTTCCTGAAGAATGCAGAGGTCTTGAAGTAAATATGAGATCCTGGTACTCCTATTTTGCCTAAATCCATATTGTTCTTCACTCAGGGAGGATTCCACTGTTCTTCGTAGGCGTCTGTCCAAAACCTTTGAGTATATTTTACTGGGGACACTAAGAAGAGATATCCCCCGGTGGTTTTTACATTCTCTGTTGTCTGCTTTCTTAAATATTGGGACTACAAGAATCCTTTAGAATGTGCTGGAAAACTTCTATTCCCTTAAAATTATCTTCAAACTTGATCAAATTCGACAGTTCATCTTCCTGATTTTCGTCTAGAAGTTCCTTGAAGTATTCAGCCCATCTCTACATGATTCCTTCATTGCTTGTAATTATATTACCTTCCCTATCTTTAATTCGCTTGAGAACAGGTTCTTTCTCATTGCACATGTTTCAAAGCATTCTGTAGAAAAGTTTCTGATTGTCTTCTAGCTTCTTTCTTCCAAAATCTTCCCACGTTTTGCTTTTGGCTTCTATAACTTTGATTTCCATTGTTCACCTTTGAGTTACATATTTTTCATAATCATTATGGGAATTCGATTTTAGATATTGCTTTCAATACCTCTACATCTAAAGACATTGCAGCAGATGACAACTCTTGCAAGAGACAGAGCTAGATGGAGATCCTGGGTTGGATTAACCTAACTCGATGCTGAAAGGCACAACGAGAAGTTAAAGCACAACGAGTTAAAGAAGAAGAAGGAATAGTCATGTTGAAAACACAACTAATAAAGCACTAAAATGCCTTTGGGCATGTAAAAATGCTGTAGGAAAGGCATGGGGGCTTAAACCACAAATGGTTTACTGGCTGTATGTCACAGTGGTTAGACCTGTGCTCTTATATTCAACTGTTGTATTGTGGCATAGGGCAAGAGGGGGTCACAATTGGAAAAACTACAAAGATTAGCCTGTCTAATGATAAAAGGTGCAATGATAACCACTCCGACTGCAGCCATGGAAGTTATGTTAGGTCTATACCCTTTGCAGTTGGAGATAGAAAGCACAGATATTAAGCTCCTGCTACTATTAACAGTAGCTTAATATGTGTGCTATTCGACGGTGCTGTGCTGAGACTGTCTGTGTGCCCCTGGCCTAAGGCATCGAGGCTCTATTTTAAAACATTGAAGAGGATCCCATTGTTAGCATAAAAAAAACCGGCATCGAATAAACAACAAGATCAATGAACAATTTGTAGTATACTGAATTATAATTTAGTGGCATAATTCTCAATTTAAGTAATTATGTTGACGTATATATATATATATATATATATATATATATATATATATATATATATATATATATATAATAGTTGTAATAGAAGGACCAAAGGAATATGAGCGAACCCTTATTATATATAGATTACATATATATAATATTGTCGGAGTTCATATTATATTAAGCTCATGTGGCGTATATGGAAGCCTGTTATAATCTTTCAGGCGAGCTCGGGTTCGCTCGTATTCCTTTGGTCCCTCTATTAGAACTATACTCCGTTACAATCTCTTTTTTTTCCATTAGTTAATTACCAAATTCTTTCATATTTTATATTTAAATATTTTTTATATCTGAGTTTAATGTGAAATGGTTAATTATATCAAATAAAAAAAAAGTTAAAGATATAGGATGAACCAATGACATTGAAACACACACACGCAAAACAAAAACAGATGTATTTATGAAACAACTAAGCCATACATATGAGCTATATTCCCGGACAGCATGCTCTGTGCTATGCCCTCCAGTGGCTCTACCTGTCCAGAAGCAGTCTTGGCACATTGTGTAAGAACTACATTTGACACATTTGTACCTAAAACAAAATATGTAAAAAATATTAGATATATATAAACTAAATAATAATATATTTCATAATATAATGACTTATCAACTCTAATAAAAAAAAGAACAACAAATATATAGGAAAGGAGCTTGATAACAATGAACTACTTGTGATAGACTCATTCATAACCAATTAAATATGATAATAAACATTGCAGTTATTCAATTATTTTAATTGACACACTGCCCACACTAATGTTAATTAATTATTTCATATTTAGTTTTGATATAATTAATTAACATACTTAGGCACTATTTCATTACTATATTAATTTCTTTTAGATATTTATTTCTATTTCAGACAACTGATGCATGAAACTAATATTTTATTGTCCAATGATTTAATAGTTGTAGTTATTGTTTTAATACAAAATAAAATACATTATTTTAAAAACAAAAATACCTTTAAGGAAAAAAAAAAAAGAAAAGAAGATCGCTCTAATCTACTTTATACTTTCAATTACAGCTTTGAAGTTACTAAGAAACTGCAAACCTTACTTAGAGTAGTGTAAATCTTGAATAAAATACTTATATATGCTCCCCACTATGCAGTATGTATAATTTATTATAACTGTTGCATACTGAATTTCATTAAATGAATAGCTATAAATATTTTTAGTTTATTATTTTCAATAATGGACCTTTGTAATCGATGAGGAAACAAATTCTCAAAATTTGAGGTTTTATGTTTCAAGATATGTAACATCCGTAAATTAAATTTTTAAAAATTCATTCATCCATGGCTTTTCTTCGAGACCATTGATTCGATTTTTTTAAAATAAGAAATTCACCATACGATAATTCTAGCAACTCAACATTACAATCCGCCTTTTCTTTATAAAACAGCAACCGAAAAACTTGTTTCTAAATATCACAGCTACCTATGCTACCAACGGCTATACCATGGTTTTGATGGAACTTGACATAGTTCTTTTTGAATTTTTGTTCTTGCTCTTTAAATTTATATGCAGATATTGTTATGATTTTTATTTATTAAGTATTCATATTCAAAAATATATGTTGGTGATGGAAATATTGTGGAAGAGAGGACCTAACCCCCACTTGTCTAGCCTCAGTCTTCATCCAGCCATTGGCCAATGCAGTTGTCGGTTCCGGAATGCTCTCGAGAGAACATGTTCACAGTTATCAGGCAGGTATACACCTAAATGAATACCATCTTCCAGTGAAGTATCGGTATCAAGATTATGCAGTGTAATATGTGAGATCAGATATATTAGAAAGACAGTATCAAGAAGATATAATCATAGTAATTTTTTTTTTTTTTTATCATAAAATGCGTTTTTAGATTAAATACAAATATTTAATGTACCGATGATGTTTATTAGATCCTTAATAATTCACAGTCCATGAACCATTTAAGCCCTCAACCCCCAATAAATTATAATATATAGGAAATTAAAATTATCATTATTTCAAAAAATTGAATGAAATTATCAATTTAAAAAAATATCAGTTTAATATATAACATAATAATTGATGAATACAATATACAAAAGAAGTTACAATAAATGCAAAATTTTATTTGCGAATAACTCAAAAACTATAAACTTTTTGGTGATTTATTACGGAATAACGGTTCTTGCGGAAAAGAAGCGCTCCAAAGTTGCGTGGTCTGAGGAGAGAAAACATAAGCAAGCGGAGCTTATGAGGGGCAAATGGGAGAAGAGGAGACAGACGAAGAGGAAGCACTGAATTCGTGATATTCACATGGTCTTTAAGGTCTGTTCATGAAAAAAAAAAAAAAACTGTGCGTGAGCTTATAAATATCTAAAATTTTAAAAACTAATTATGAAGAGGACTTATAACTCATTAAAGTTAATTACATAATAATAAAAATAAAATAATCGACTATAATTTATCATTTATCTACGAAATTAATTATAAGCATCATCACTCAAAGGAAGAATGTTTTTTTCTAATGTCTGGTCTTAAATTACTAATTACAGGATCAGAAGTTACCATGAGAAGATGAAAGAAGTCTTCATTCATGGCAGTTCAAGAAATCTTTTTAAAGTGATGTTTTTTATACTGTCTATAGTTTTTGAGAGTACTCTCCTTAATATAAATAAGACAATAGAGAACTAAGGTAATGAGTGATACAAATAATTCCAATAGATAAAAATAATCCTTTTACAAAAACTTTACTTAAAGAACATAAGATTTACCCATGAACATACACGGCTGAGTACGTGAATAAAATTAATAACATTGTTTCTCAAATAGTAGTACTTTTATTTAAAATGTTTCAGAGAACCTAGTTCGGCATAGCTTTTTATAAAAGTTTAAATGAAAATACGATATGTTAGATTTTTTAGGCAGCAACTTTAAAAAATCCTTCGTAGTAACGGTTATGCATAATTTCACAAAATAAAAACTCTAATGAGACTAGTACATATATATTACAATGTTTAAAAGGTTTTGCAAGTTATAGGCTAAAAAGTTAGTTTAAAAAAAAATAGTAATTAGCTTAGTCCCGATGAATTGTGAAAATACAGATTGTCCCAACATAAAATAATTGTCAATTCTGAAAACTCAGGACTATAGGCTTACCTAGTCTGGTCATAAATATTGTTATAATGAAATATATACGTATTTCAACATAAATTATTTTTTCCAAAAACTTTATGAGATAATATAATGTATTCCTATAGAGAGTAAAACAAAAAAGAAAGTACTCAAAATGTTCCCTTTTTGCCTTGACACAGGCACTTAATCTCTGTGGCCAGTCATCAATAGCAGCACGCAGCACTTCTTGAGGAAAGCGCTCAACTGCTCGGACCAGAGATTGTTTGAGGCTTTCCAAGTTAGGGTGTGCTCTGTGGCATGCCATCCTCTCCAGTTCGGACCAAAGCCGATAATCTAGTGGGTTGAGATCAGGGTTTCCTGAAGGCCAATCCGAGGCAGAGATGAACTCTGGAATGTTCTTTTGCAGCCACTGCTGAGTTGACCTGGCCTTGTGAGCTGGAGCGAAATCCTGCTGGAAAACCCAATGACTTCCAGCAAACAGAGTATCATTTAGAGGCTTGACAACAGGTTCCAAAATATCGCCCTGATAGTTTTTAGCGGCTGTTTTAACTCCTTTTTCACAAAAATGGAACTTTGTGGTTCTATCAAAACAAATTCCCCACCAAACCATTACTGAGGAACAGTGATGACCTCTTTCCACTTTTCCAATGACTTCTTTAGAGCTGTGCACATACACACGATCATTTAGGCGATTAAATTTTTGTTGAATTGTTGAAAAATTTTCTTATTGCTAAACTAAATCTTTCGATGAAAACCATTGGTGTAACGGCCAAGGAGCACTTTGCACATATCCACTCTAATTTGTTTTAGGGAAGTGGTTAGCCTTTGCCCAATCATTCTTCGAAATGCACCCATCCTAAGGTCCCTTTTTATTAAGTGAGACATTAATCTGACAGAGATTCCCATTTCCAGAGACATGATTTGTTGTTTTCGAATGTGATTTCTTCTGATTTCAGTAGCCACTGCTCTCATTGCATTTGCCGTTCTCACAGTGCGGGGGCAGCCAGGTCGAGGTCTGTCACATACAAATAGGGTCTCATTAATACTATTTATAGTGTGGTACACGAACATACGGCTGATAACCAAAGGTTTCAAAGTGTTGAAAATCTCTGACCTACATTTTCCAATTTTGAGTAAGGCAATCACAGCTATTCGGTTTCCTATATCACCCCACTCCATGTTAACAGAGAAAAATACAAACTAATTGGGATTATTATCCTGACATGTAAAGAAAATAACCTGATAGAGGTAAGGAGTATCTAAATGTTACCCAAGGATGTAAACAAAGTTCAACTTTTGTTAAAGTATTTATGGCAGAACTAGGTATATTGTGGGGCCTATTAATTGGACTTTATTAAATAGGATAAAAATCTAATTTTTTAAATTTTAGAATTCAAAGAGTCAAATACTGGAGTAAAACCCACAACTGGTATTTCTATCCTAATTATGACTTAAATATTAATAAAATAAATTTAACAACCTGAAGCCAGTATATTCCTTCCTCAGACAAGAATCACACTGGGTCGAATGCATGACTGCAACAAATGTAAGGTGTAAATTAGACATACAATCAAGTAAATGTACTATATATGTATAACATTATTATATATAGTATTATAATATAATACGTACATATATCATGATCAGGGTAATAATTTTTAAAAAATCTAGCTAGAAGTATTATAATTACCTTCATCCATGTAATGGGGAGAATAAAAATTGAATATTTCAAATTATCTTGTATTATGCCTATGTATCCATTATGATTTCCAACCAATTTTTATAAATGCATTTTTTTTATATTATCTTTAACAGAAAATATTCCAGACTTTAAAAAGGTTCTTCTGGAAACTCTTAAATTGTCAGTACCTTAGAGACTTTTTTCAATTTCAAATATTTTCCTATTCCTGATAGGGCCACGTCATTTTAAATAACATTAAAACTATTTTATTATTATTATTTTGTGGTTATACTGTAAATGGACTATGATTAACAGAAAAGAGGTAAGAAATATAATAAAGTGGTTTTAATTTAAAAGCATTTTTTTTTCTCTTTCTTCTTTTCTTTCGCTTATCAAGATGGTTTTATGCCAAATCTGTAAACAGACCATTGCAAGTGAAGAAAAAAAAACAATGGCATGCACTGTCCCTACATGTCAAGCCATTTTCCATGGAAAATGTCTAAACGCAGACGAGAGTGAGTTTGAAGCACTGAGGGCATTACGAAAAAATTGGGAATGCCCGAAATGTGAAAAGGCACGGAAAAATATCCAACCGACAGACAAGTGTCTCAGCCCGCCAAGATCGGCGCCACAACAACAAACTGTCGACAGCACGTCACAACTGCTACTTGCTGCCATTAAAAATTTAACAGAAGAGGTCAAGGGATTAAAATTCTCCCTCGATGCCAATGCTAACGAGGTGAAAGAATTAAAAATATCTCTCGAAAAGCAAGCATCCATAACTTTTGAGAATGCGGCGAAATTAGACTCTATAGAGTCACTACTGGAGGCTCAAAATTCCAAGATTGACGGACTGGTCTTGGAAAACACGACTCTCAAGTCTCGGGTCTCGGAGCTCGAAATCAGGCTCAATAAAAGTGAGCAACTGCACCTTTCCAGGTCAATAGAAATAAGAGGAGTCCCAGTGAGATCTGGAGAGACCCCGATGGGCCTGGTTATGAGCGTGGGGGCGGGCCTGGGCCTTAGTCTAAAGGTGGAGGACATTGACTATGCAGAACGGATAAGAAACAGGCAAGACGATACACCTGGGCCGCTTGTGGTAAGGTTCGTCCGGCAGTCGCTTAGGGATGAGTTGATCCAGAGGCGAAAAGTCATTAGGGATTTTTCAACACGTCACCTCGGATGGCAAGAAAATGACGCCCACAAGATCTACCTGAGCGAAGCTATGTCCGTAACCAACAGACACCTGTACTGGCTGGCCCGGCAAAAGAGGTCTGCAGGAAAAATCAGGTACAGTTGGTTTAGCGCAGGCAAGGTGAAATGTCGACGAGACGATGGACAGCAGGTCGTCGTCATCAACTCACCATCAGATTTAGAAACATTTGCTTGACATGCATATACATGTTACAACACTTTGAACAATTTTGTTTTTACTTTTTTATATCCCCAGTTTTATGTTTTTGTTGCGTTTGTTTTAATAATAGACTATGATAATAATTTCATTTTTGTTTATGAGAATATTTTAGGTCTGATCTGTCCAGAAACTCTAATTTGTGTATTTTTTTTCTTTTGCACAATAGGAATATGCTTTTCGTTAACTAAATTTTATATTTTTTGTTTACCATCCTTATTAATATCTAGGAGATCTTGCACACAATTGGCTCTAGCTGCTGTAGAAATATTCCTATCCTTAACTCCTTCTGTCCGTTTACCAAGCCACCCCTCCTTCTTCCATGACTAATATCCTTCTAACCTGCCACGTCAACGCTCAGTCACTCTTAGCCCATTTTGATGAATTTTACGACTTTTTTCTCCATAACTTCTACCATTTAATTGCCGTATCCGAAACCTGGTTGAAACCCACAATCCCGTCCTCCCAGATCCTTCTACCTAACTATACTCTCCTTCGTCATGACAGAGTAGATCGCACGGGTGGTGGAGTAGGTCTCTTTGTCCATGACAGTCTCAAATCCAAAATTCTTCACTGCTCTTCCATAACCGATTCTCCGCACGTTGAATACCTTTTCGCCGAAATCCTCACCACCTCATCTGCCATTCTGTTTGCTGTCATATATCGCCCTCCTAGAATTCCTTTCGATGAATCACTTGAGACTTTATTGTACAACTTAATCCCTTCCTACTCAAACATCATCCTCTCCGGTGACTTTAACACCAATTTACTGGCACCATCCTCTGATTATTCCTACCTAACAAACCTCTTTAATTCTCTCAGCCTTTACATAGTACCCTACAATCCAACCCATCATACTCAGTATTCAGAGTCCTGGCTCGATCTAATTATCCTGGATTCCTCAGACAAACTCCTTGCCGCATCTCAGCACCCGGTTCCGTTTCTATCTTCCCACGATCTTGTCCAGATCTCTTACAATGTCCCTGTTCCATCCTTTTCTCCCCGAACAATATCCTTCCGAAACCTAGATTATCTCACTCACGAAACATTGTCAGAAGGTCTTGACGATATCCAGTGGGATCCCATCTACTCCTCAAAATCCATAGACACCATGGTAGAAATCCTAACCACTCAACTTCACTCTATCCTCGACCGACATGCTCCTCTTATCACAAAAACCATCCGATATCCTCCAGCTCCTTGGCTTACCCCTGCTTTGAGGGAGTGTATGAGAGAAAGAGATGCTGCAAGGCGACGGTTTAAACGAACTCGACTTCCTGATGATTTTCTCTCCTACAAACAGCTTCGAAATAGCACTCAATCAGCAGTACGCCGTGCTAAATCCCGTTACTACCATCATTCCCTATCCAACTCTCCCAATACCAAGGCTACGTGGGCTATTCTTAGAAAACTGACCATTGGTAATACACCCCAGTCTCAGTCCAATTCCGTTTCTGCTGATAACCTCAACGCTCACTTTGTCTCCTGTCCTCTTGCATCCACATCTCCCACGTCCAGTCTGGCTCCTATGTTCTCTTCCTTTAATCCTGATCACTTCTTTCTTTCCCATATTACACCAGATGAGCTCCTTAAATCCATTCAGAAGTCCCATACCAATGATTACGGTCCCGACAACATCCCAGTCAGACTGATTAAAGCCGCATTGCCATCCATTCTTCCGATCCTTTATCATATATACAATTATTCTCTTCAAAATGCTACCTTCCCTACATCCTGGAAAACCGCCCTAGTACGCCCATTGAAGAAGACTTCAAACCCATCAGTTCCTAATGATTTCCGACCGATTTCCCTCCTTTCAAACCTCTCAAAACCATTAGAGCGGTTAGTCCAATCCCAGCTATCCCATTTTTTAGAGGACAATAATCTCCTAAATCCCTACCAGTCTGGATTCAGGCCTGGTTATTCTACTCAGTCTGCCCTAATCAAAATTTCCCAAGACCTTCACACAGCCATAGATCAGCAGAAACTAACCATCCTTATTCTCCTAGACTTCTCCAAAGCTTTTGATTCAGTAGACCACAACATCCTCCTAACCAAACTTAAAAATATCTCTTTTTCTTCTAGTTCCCTTAATTGGTTCCAATCCTTCCTAACCGGTCGCTCCCAGTACGTTGTAATTCCTAATAACCCACCATCAGAATCTCTACCTCTGACCAGAGGCGTCCCACAAGGCTCTTCCTTATCCCCCACCCTTTTCTCCATCTATATAAATGACCTCCCATCCTCTATCCTGCACTGTCATTACCACCTGTATGCCGACGACATTCAAATTTACCTCTCCTTTAATCCGACAGATATCTCAGATGCCACTCAAAAACTTCAGGAAGATATTGACAGAATAAGTGCTTGGGCAAACCTCAATAGGCTCACTCTGAACGCCGAGAAGACAAAAGCCATCTTGATCGGATCCCCTTCACTCCTCAAATCCTCCCCAGTATCTCCCAATCTCTTCCTGAACAACTCACCTATCTTATTCTACACCACCGTTAAAAACCTAGGTGTTACTTTCGATCAATCCCTATCCTGGAAACCTCACATCTCCCAAATTTCCCGTCGCACTATCTCCACCCTAAAACAGTTCAATCGTCTACGATATCTCCTTCCATATAAGTCCCGTCAACTCCTAGTTTCCTCCCTTGTTTTCCCCCACTTCGACTACGGCTGTATGGTGTACGGCGGACTCCCGGGAGATTCCGAGGCCAAACTTAAACGCCTAATGAATTGCGCACTACGATTTGTTTTCGGAATCTCAAGGGATACGCATATTACCCAGTATTACACTGAGTTGAGGTGGCTCTACCCATCCTATCGCCGTCAGTACTTCCTAGCCACCTTTCTGTACCAAATTATTAGAACCCATCGACCCTCCTACATTTTTCACAGCTTACAATTCAAATATTCCATCCAATCCCGTCCCACCAGATCTCGTACTTCCGACCTCTATCCTCCTCCTCACCGAACTGCTGCGTTTGACAAATCCTTTGCAATACAAGCCGCCTCCCTCTGGAATTCCATCCCACCTGATATTCGACACGCTCAATCAGTTTCCTCGTTTAAACCACTCCTCTTTAAGCACCTACTCCTTTCTCAATCCGAATGATTGTGAAATATATCTTAGAGAAATATCTGAGCACCACCAGAGACTACCTCAATTTATTAAGGTTATTTTAGTTTCTCATACATATGTACAATTTACTTGTTCTTTTTTTTCTCTTTTCTGTATTTTTATCGTAAGTCAACTTTCATTGTAAATATACAATTCAATTGTAGCCACACAGACATATAATCTGTATTCATATTTTGTTCTTAAGGGACAACAGTCCCAGAATAATAAAACATTTTTTTCATTTCATTTCATTTCATTCATTTTTTCCCTCATTGAAGGGTAATTTTCAACTTAAAAGCTAACGCAAACCATCAGT